ATTTACTATCAAGGATGTGTTTTTGTTTAAGTATAGAGTAAATCAACCAGATTAATGAAGACATCAAATGTGAAGCCAAATATTTTGAATTGTGAAATGGGAGCCAAGAATCTTGCAATATGTGGACCATATCATAGCTAATGTCTTTCCTGTGAGTTTCTCAAAGTTGCATAATTTCATGCCGATTTGATGTTCAAGATTAGAAACCAGAAATGACATTGCATTATGTGATTTCAAAGTAACCACCCAAATCTTTTGAGTGGATCTCGAATTCCTCTCCAATAGCACTCGAACCCATTTGGCAACGTTGAAATTGTACTCGTACTCAAGTAGTTAAAATTCTATCATGTTTGGTAGGTTGGACTGGACTGGATATTTTCAGTTAAAAAGGACAAGAGTCCTAGTCATTATTTGGTGAGCTTAAAGTGTGTCTTGGACTAGATAAGTGCCTTGGATCCAAGTCAAAGCTAGTCGTCCGTCCTAAGAATCTAGAAGTAATGAACATATTTTAGACCTAAGAATCTAAGAGTCTAAAAAAACATCAAAACACCTTTAAAAAGTTTCAATTTGAACTAAAAAAGGACAAGAGTCCTAGTCATTATTTGGTGAGCTTAAAGTGTGTCTCGGACTAGATAAGTGCCTTGGATCCAAGTCGAAGCTAGTCGTCCGTCCTAAGAATCTAGAAGTAATGAACATATTTTAGACCTAAGAATCTAAGAGTCTAAAAAAACATCAAAACACCTTTAAAAAGTTTCAATTTGAACTAATTTTAGACTCCCAAATATAATTTAAAGATTTATATTGTACATGAAAAAATGTACCTGCTAGCAATAGATTTTTAGGAAACACCTCCTTTAGAAGTAATGTACATATTTATTGAGAATATGAGTTTTCAACTTTATAGTACTAACCAGATTCTAATATTTGTCACAATTCATCATGGTGTGCATAATTAGCCAATTAAAAAAAAAAGCTAGTAAACTTGGCACGATGTGTTTGTAGAAAGTCCACGGACTTGTTCTCTGAAATGATGATAACTTTTTTGGTAATACCAAGTGAGCAACCACTCCGAGTCGTAGACCTGAACGGATTTGACTCTCCCCAGGGGGTGTTTTTCACAAGGTGGGATTCGAACGCTGGACCTCACGCTAGTAAACTTGGCACGATGTGTTTGTAGAAAGTCCACGGACTTGTTCTCTGAAATGATGATAACTTGGTTGGTGAGAAGTCTGCACATAAGTGGCGCATAAGATGAAGACAAGACTTCACGCACCCGCCAACAATGTTAAAACCATCACAGTTCTGTACTTCTATAATATAATCATCATCCCATGCCCCCATTGTCTCTAAGATTCCCTCCGGAGGATAGAATCCATTCTGGCTCAGGATCACTTGGATCATTTTTACTAATGTAAGTGACGTAGTCTTCATTTTGATTTGAAACACAATGCTAAAATTGTACCTCTTGTTGGACACATCAGGCAAAATAAATTCAAATATCCCATCAGAAAATACCCCGCTAGTCCAATAAACCACCCCATCTTTCTTTATTTTCAGTTGGTGTCCATTGGGGTCCCAATCGAGGCTGAAAGGCCCTGGGGACATCAAGTTGTCCGGAGATCCACGCGATAAAAGAGACCAAATGTGGCCACTTTTATGGTCAACACCCAATTTCATGCCTGGTAAAAATGTGTCTAGTGGATGATCAAAACTTTGCCAAAAAAGCCGGATCATTGATCTGTTGACTGAGCTCACTTCTTGCAGGACGAAGTTGCCCAAATCCAAAAGGGTAGCCACAACACTAGTACTAGTGTCATTAGATTGTGGAGCACTGGAAATGACAAAAGGATCGCCACCTTGGTGAGTAATTTTCAGCGTGTTATTGGTGTCCAAGGTAAGAAGTGGGGAAGAGGAGGATGAAATAGGTGAGTCTGGGTTCGCAATCCATGATATGTTTCCATGACGTTTAATGTGCATGATAGAAAGAAAGCTGGAGTCTGAGCCGCCGATAGTTCTTACAGTAAAATTCAAAGAGTAGTTCCCTGATGATGAAACTAAGGAACTTTTGTGGAATTGAAAGTGTCCCCTTGTTTCAGTGTGTCTGTTGCATCGTGCAAAGTCCACCGGCATGCAAAAAGGATCAAAATAATGAAGCACTTCATCACCCAATCAGCAGCCATGAGAATGACCACAAGGCCAGACTGTCTAGATGATCTGAAAACTCCTCTTTTGAGAAATATAAGAATCTTATCACTTAAACTTTCAAGATGGAAATGATATGTTCTAAAGCCACAAAATAAATCAGAAAAAAAGAAGTAAATGTGCTCATAGAAGGGTTATAGGAGAGAGAGAGAGAGAGAGAGAGATGTTGGAGTGAATAAAAGTGAAAGGACTACTACAAAAATCGCAATAGACGACGGTAATTCACCGTCGTGTATCCGGTTTTTCAACCGTCATGAAATCGACCAACATCTTTTGATGGATAAAACCACAACGGTAAATCCCCGTCGTCTATTATTTTTAAAGACGACGCTTTTACTCAAAACTATCATCTATTAGATGTAAAGACGACCTTTTTTTTTAAAGAACTGTCGTCTATTAGATGTAAAGACGACGGTTTTTAGTAAAAGCGTCGTTGTTATAATGTAAAGACGACAGTCTTTTGTTAAAAACCGTCGTTGTTTATGGGTAAAGTCGACGGTTTATAAAAACTGTCGTTATTTATGAGTAAAGACGACAGTTTTTATTAAAAAGCGTCATTGATTGTATATAAAGACGACGGTATTGTGTTAAAAACGGTCATTGATTATATGTACAAACTACGGTTTTTCCAATAAAACCATTGTTTTATTTTCTTTAAATATGTCGTCTAATAAGTTCCCAACCTGTTACATTTTAATTTTTTGTTTCCAATGATTCTATACAAAGATTTTAACTAGAAAATCAATTATAACGCTTTATTAATGAATATATATACTCAAAAATTATTTCTTTCATAAAAGTTGAAGATTCAATTTTATTACATAGAATTAGAAACAATGGAACTACGGCTTGGTTTGGGGTTGCTGCGCTTAAAAAATAAGCAGCTTTGAAAAGAAGTTTTGGAGGTTTAAGTGTTTGGTAAAACCAATCCAAGCTGCTTATTTTAAAATCTGCTGCCATTCACAGCCAAAAACAAGAAGCAGCTCACACCCTGCTTCTAAAATCTGCTGCGCGGAGAAGCATGCGGAGGGTTTAATGAAACTTTCAAATTGCCCATATTGCCCTTATTTGTTTCAAACAATTACATGCTCTATCCTCGTCATCCCGGGTTCGAGCCTCCCAAGTGTCATTTCTCTTGGATTTTCTGGCTTGCTCGATTCATCCTCTCTCTGCAACCTGCTCCCCTTCTCAATCCATCAAAGCTACCATCTCAACCCAAAACCCCACCAACCCACCTCCTATTTTACAGACCCAGAACTTCTTCCCCTCCAACCCAAAAAACCCCAACCTTAGCTCCGCACTTTATCATCTCCACATCCACAAAAAATCCAACATCCAGATTACCCACCAGTTATCTCCTCCAGCAAAAGAAAACCAAACCCCCAACTTCCTTGTCTTCCCCACCAAAACACAACCCAATATTACAATCCCACTATTCACATTTATAGAGCAAAGAGAGAGAGGTGGGGATGTAGCATCCACATCCCAAGCATCATCGCCAAACCCAAATACCAACTCAAGGTTGCCGACATCCCAAGCCCCCACATCTTGATGTAATTTAAGAGATGGATGGATGGAGAGAAAGAGAGAAAGGTGTGAGATGGAAAAGCTTACACTTTTGACTATAAAAAAAAGACTTGCAGAGAAGGGAGAAGAATGGTCTCCGTCAAAAAAGAGAAAGAAAGGAGAAGAATGGTTGAGAGAAAAGGGAGAGAGAAAAAATAAAGAAAAAAGATGTATTGAAATTT